ATTACAGTTTTCATACATGTGATATTCAAAAAGAAAATAAAAAAAAAACGTGAACTTGTTCCAACATCAAATCCCAGCATGAAAATATTAAATCCTTTACTCATTTCATACTTAAAGTTAGAAATTTCACAAACATTTAAAACTACTTTCTTTTTTTTTAAAGAAGACAAATGATAAGCACAATAAATTCTTTTTCTTAATATTTTGCTCATTAACAAATACAATTTCACAAATTAATTTTCCTCACCCTGAAAACCCCAGAATTATGTTTTCCTAAATGGATCTCTTATTTACAATGTAACATCCACTCACAGAAAACCTGTGAAATTTGGAATAATATATTCACATCCACTCACAGTAAACCTGTGAAATTTGGAATAATATATTCACATCCACTCACTGAAAACCTGTGAAATTTGGAATGATATATTCACATCCACTCACAGAAAACCTGTGAAATTTGGAATGATATATTCACATCCACTCACAGAAAACCTGTGAAATTTGGAATGATATATTCACATCCACTCACAGAAAACCTGTGAAATTCGGAATGATATACCGTAAATATTCGTGTATAGTGCGCACTCGCGTATAGTGCACAGGTACTTTTTGGAGATCAGATTTAAAAAAAAAATCTACAGAAAAATTAATTGACTGGTCACTGCGACGAAACATTTGATGTGGTCTGATCCATTGATAATTAGGAAACCACAATGAGCGTGACCCTTACACATGTAATTACCTTAAGTAAACAAATTTACCCAGGTGACCTAACAAGCATGAAAGGCTTGGCTGATTGTATAATTAACGGTTAATGACAGTTAACACGTTGAGTATGAGGAGACTGATGACACCCGGCTTGGGCTGAACGCGTACTATTGGTCAGAAAACGATGTTGTTTTAACTGTCTGAACATTTTCAATCCTACCTTGTCCCCATAAAAGCAGGTGGTTTGTTCAGTATAGGCATGATCTTTCATGGTATCTGTACCCACCGCGGTATCCGAAGGTATTTAATGATAGATTGTTTACACCGACTTCGACACGGGGAAACTGCGAACGCCATTTGACTACGCCGAGAGACTGGAGTTTCGTGCCGCCGGTCGCCACTTCGACATTCCAGAGTGAAATATCAAGGCAGGGAAGAAAGAAAAGACCGTATAAAGTCCCAACCACTGACCAGAAGGGCTGACATAGGTGCGACAGCGAAACACCCAGAGATGTATGCGATCGCCGATATCCCAGCATCGCTGCCAGTACAACAGAACTGCGCGTGCGGGCCATGCAAATCAAGAGAGGTCATGGGGTCAACAACTTTGGGCATCGGTGGGATGGGCTGTCCGATTTATGAACAGAACGACAATCGCCGAAAAACTTCTGGATTCATTGAATTCCACAGATACATCATCAAAATGAGGCAGAAATTCAGACACTACTATAGCCCCGACCAATAGTAAGACCAACGGGAAACGAAAAAAAAATTAGATTCACCGTAATGCTAGCGTGAATGGCAGATGATTAAAACATTCGAAATTTATTTTATTTTTTTGTTGCTTTTATCTCCAAACTATCATATAAGACCGATGACTTTTACATATAACTATATGAAGGGAGGTAATCCAATATGGCGGATGCAGAACTCGGGAATGATAACCCCAGGAATGGCATGTACATGCGTATAGTGCGCACCCCCTTTTTGACACGACAGTTTCAGCTTAAAAAAGTGCGCACTATACGCGAATATTTACGGTATTCACATCCACTCACATAAAACCTGTAAAATTTGGAATGATATATTCACCATCCACTCACATAAAACCTGTAAAATTTGGAATGATATATTCACCATCCACTCACAGAAAACCTGTGAAATTTGGAATAATATATTCACCATCCACTCATAGAAAACCTGTGAAATTTGGAATAATATATTCACATCCATTCACAAAAAACCTGTGAAATTTGGAATAATATATTCACATCCTCTCACAGAAAACCTGTGAAATTTGGAATAATATATTCACATCCAGTTGTAATTTCAATCTAAATTAACAATTGATGGAAAACATCATTTCTGTGAATAAAATAAAATATTGTATTTAAACAGTTATTTCATTATGTGTCAAAACCAATATGTTATATAGAAATTTTCTACTTATTTGTTGACCATGCAACATTTGGAGAGTTGTTTCCCTTTAACTGTGAGATTCCAGTTTTTATGATATTTCTATCTTGGATCCAATTTGATGGAAAAATTCAGTTATAAAACTGAATGCAGATAACAAACAAACTGTCCACCAGTACAACGACAGAAGAAATTCTTATTATTATTTGAACCCATCGGACACACATCTGAAAGGTCTGATAAAGATTTACATCAATGATCACACAAGTCTCCAGTTTATGGATGATAAACGAAAAATATGTATATAAATTTGTTTGAAACAAGCCCCTAATAACTGGCCAAAACAAACTTAACTTCAGTCAGTGAAATGTTACTGGAATCATCCTGTTGTTTTGCCTGCCAAATAAACATAAAACACTCTTCCACATACAATCCTGTTTTTAAAAAAATTAAAGCACAGAAAAATGGAATACAGTATTACTGATAGAGTGTCTCTCTGGGATCCAAAGCACATCAATAAAACTTGCCTAACATAGTTTGTGCATTAAAACTATTGACATTTTATGTATATATTGACCAAAGGGTGAAAGGGGACCACTTGGTTGAGATTGTTAATCCCAATCCCGAACCTTAAAGTCCTTATCAGGTGAATGGGTCTAAAGTTGGCCTTAACTTCTATACAATATTTTATTGAACTAGTTTCTTATCAGTCGGACATTGGCAAGCAGCACTGGCTTCTCACACCATCAAAACAATACTATCCTAAAATTCTATGAATATTCAAGACATATTTTTTTTTAAAAAGTAGTTCCAAAATATGACAGATCTAGTCAGTTATTCTGTTGTTGGTCCCCGTGGGGAGCCCCTTGGGAAAACTGTTAGTTTTCCAGTGGTTGGTTTGGGACAATGGCATAGAACTAGTGTACCTGTGTACAGGTGTGTACAGGTAACAGCTGGGCCCACTCAACCGTGAACACTTCACCTGAGAAGTGTGATTGGCTCTACTGTCTCCTACAGGTACGCCCACAGGTACAACTAATCAGGCACACAAGTTGTCCCGACTAGTCTATCTAACACACTACGTTGTTGTGTACTGACAAAATAGACTAAACTCTATATATAAATCTACATGTACCATATAATTACACAGTATATCTTCAGGCATTCCAATCCAAAATTCTAATTAACATTATAGATAATCATCATTAAACTTGTGTTCTAAATCTACAGATAAACCAGCTGCTGCAAGGAAGTTCATCAACCCAGGTGCCACGCCCACTTTGGTCACCATGGCATACTTTCTATTGTCTATGTCTTGTGAATCTTACAAATAAGAACATTCTTACAGTACATCATGTACAAATGTACGGAGTTTCAAAATTCTTTTCCTTACAATTTCAAATATTCAGTATAAAAGGGATTTTTTTATGACAAAACATATTTACGCTCATATAATCTAACAAAGTGTAATAGTAGCACAGTCACTTCAGTATATTATTTAAAAGAATCTGTAACCTGGGAACCTATTCCAAGACTTGTCTTCATCATCACTTAATGGACATCAAAGTTTCAAGCATTCAATAATATCACACTGCATATCCGTCCCTGAATGGAACGTCTATTATTTAATATAAATCTATATTGTACAATAGACCTGTGGCCCGCTTCTTTGTGTGAGGACTTTTTTTTATAAGAAAGTTTTAGGAAAGAAGAATCCTAACAATAATTATCATGACATTCTTACCGGCCGGTCAACACATAAAAGGTCATTAGGGCCATCAAACGGTAAAACACACAGCCATCAAATGATGGCAAGAAGACTCCTGACAAAATGATATATTTTGATAAAATCCTTGAAAACTGTAAAGTAAAACAAGATCTCTGTGTTGTCCTTATTTCTAAAACCAACAACTGTGGTCACAGCGGTCATCTAGTTAGGACACCAAAACATAAACAGCCTATGTGGTCACAGCGGTCATCTAGTTAGGACACCAAAACATAAACAGCCTATGTGGTCACAGCGGTCATCTAGTTAGGACACCAAAACATAAACAGCCTATGTGGTCACAGCGGTCATCTAGTTAGGACACCAAAACATAAACAGCCTATGTGGTCACAGCGGTCATCTAGTTAGGACACCAAAACATAAACAGCCTATGTGCTTTTAACACCAGTTCTTAGAGTTTGACATTTGTTTTTTCACAAATGTTGGGGTGAATGCAATCTGATTCTATATATATCATATTGTTGATACTGAGTCCTGACGGTTTGATCTCTATATCAGACCCCTGTGATTCTGTAGAAACTTTTCTAATCCAAGCCAAGTTATATATCATATTGTTGATACTGAGTCCTGACGGTTTGATCTCTATATCAGACCCCTGTGATTCTGTAGAAACTTTTCTAATCCAAGCCAAGTTATATATCATATTGTTGATACTGAGATCCCTGACGGTTTGATCTCTATATCAGACCCCTGTATGTTGTTCACTCAGGTAGTCAACACCTACTACAAGGAGACTCCGCCTCAAAATGTGCGGGGCATTTAACCCAATAAACAAATTTCTAATAAATTCTGTCAAATGGACGATTTTGAAAATCACGCCATCATCAAATCATTTTGTATTCGTCTTATTTACCTTGACTGGATCATCAACACCATATTGACTAGAAAACCAGAAGACATCACACATTAACTATCAAATACTGATACACTTTTGTGACACACGATATCATGCATCTCCTGAATAGCCTTATTATGAAAGCTAGGAGATTTTGATTTCCCATGATGCTCTCCTGTTTTCAAAATCGTCCATTAATCACTGACTATTATAAACACCACAGGAAAACAAAAAGGCACAGTTGTTACTTACCTTTCTAGACTTTGGTCCATGGTTAGTTCGTCGTCCTAAAATTCAAGAAGTGATGTCAGTAATAATTGATAAATTTGACACAGAATGATAACCTAGAAAAGATATCCATTTATACTGTTTTATATGAATAGGAAATTTGTTAAAATGTCTGCAAATCTAAATCTGTTAATGATGGCACAGTTGTATAAACAACAATAGATTTCTGGAAAGCTTTTCCATTTAGATTTAAGCACATTGATTTATTTTGAGCATACTTTTTCAAGATACTGACCAAATATCAAAAATCTTTAAAAACATTTCAAAATAAAATTTTGCATCTTTTTATTTGAGTTACCTCCCTTACCCCATCAGGTACTCTGATTTGACATTTATTGAAGATACATTGGATACAGCCTAGCTAGCTTGGCCATGACAAGTTGAGGATAAAGTGTAGAGCAGATTCGTGTTACAGTCAAACCTGTCTCAATAACCAACTGTCTACAAAGGCCACCTTGTTTTGGCCCTAATATAATTCGTCTTAACTGAACCTCTGTTTAACAGCCACCTGTGACCAACTGCTTTTGCCCTGATCTCACTAAACCTCTGTTTAACAGCCACCTGTCTACTAAGGCCAACTGTTTTGGTCCTGATGTTATTTATTTCATCTTAATTGAACCTCTTTATAACAGCCTCCTGTCTACAAAGGCCACCTGTTTTGGTCCTGATCTGATTGAACCTCTATATAACAGCCACCTGTCTATCAAGGCCAAGTTTTTTGGTCCTGATCTGATTGAACCTCTATATAACAGACCTGTCTACAAAGGTCACCTGTTTTCGTCCTGATCTAATTGAACCTCTATATAACAGACCTGTCTAACACGGCCACCTGTTTTGGTCCTGATGTAATAAAATTCATTGTAATTACAACTGTATATAAAGGCCACCCATCTCTGCACATTTGAGTAGCCTTTACAGATGTTTGAATGTGTATGTAGAAAGAAGTTCATAGCAAGACCATACTATGTAGTGTTCTGTGTATAGAAGTTACTTACAGACTGTCAAGTGTAAGAATCACTCCCAGTACAAAGCTACAACATACAGTAATGTGTACTGTTACCTTTAATTATAATTCTATCGCATCAACTTTTGGTCAGTTTGGAATTAGAGCTAAAATTATAAAGCTTAATAAGAAAATTTGTGTCACGCTTAGCTGACAATGAGTACAGCCGTCAGCCTGAATTATAAAAAAGACTATTCCTTTACAGGTAACTATCAGCTCTCCACAATATCTAGTATAGATTGTATAATCTTACCTTCAGGCCTTTTGTTGTAGTAGGAGGAATACTTGCTGGGTGACATGGCGCTAGGAGACATTGGCACAGTGGGACCCATCAGGCTCTGCAAAACAATCACAACTCATCAATGTAGGTCACATAGAAGAAACATAGGTCATACAGACAAATGTAGGTCATAAAGATGAAAGGTAGGTCAACAATTCAATTACCTTTTATTTCGCAAAAAATGTAAAGCCAGCTAGATGTACAAGTCAATAGGTCAAACATGTTAGGGGTATGTCAACGGTTTAGCAAGGTCAATAGGTCAAACATGTTAGAGGTATGTAAATGTTTTAGCAAGGTCAATAGGTCAAACATGTTAGGGGTATGTTAATGTTTTAGCAAGGTCAATAGGTCAAACATGTTAGGGGTATGTTAATGTTTTAGCAAGGTCAATAGGTCAAACACGTTAGGGGTATGTTAATGTTTTAGCAAGGTCAATAGGTCAAACATGTTATGGGTATGTTAATGTTTTAGCAAGGTCAATAGGTCAAACATGTTATGGGGAATGTTAATGTTTTAGCAAGGTCAATAGGTCAAACATGTTATGGGTATGTCAACAGGTTAAGCAGACAAAATTAACAGGTCGAGGTGCTGCTTAATCTATTAAGAAAGCTAATAGTAGGCCAATAGCTAACCAACACCAGCAGATCATCATGTGACAATTTCAAATGACTATTGTCAGTTTCAATAATTGGAAAGAAGACCGTGAAGAGCTGACCTAACTCTCTGTCCAGCTGCTTACTTCCCTTTAGTTAGATCAACTTGAACTTGATAGGTGAAGGCATTCATTTTGACGGAGCTAAAACCTGTCATACAATATCATCAATAGTTCATAGACTACTAAACAACAGTACATAGACCAGTAAACAACAGTACATAGACCAGTAAACAACAGTACATAGACCAGTAAACAACAGTTCATAGACCAGTAAACAACAGTTCATAGACCAGCAAACAACAGTTCATAGACCAGTAAACACCAGTTCATAGACCAGTAAACAACAGTACATAGACCAGTAAACAACAGTTCATAGACCAGTAAACAACAGTACATAGACCAGTAAACAACAGTACATAGACCAGTAAACAACAGTTCATAGACCAGTAAACAACAGTACATACACCAGTAAACAACAGTTCATAGACCAGTAAACAACAGTACATAGACCAGTAAACACCAGTTCATAGACCAGTAAACAACAGTTCATAGACCAGTAAACAACAGTACATAGACCAGTAAACACCAGTTCAAAGACCAGTAAACAACAGTACATAGACCAGTAAACACCAGTTCATAGACCAGTAAACAACAGTACATAGACCAGTAAACACCAGTTCATAGACCAGTAAACAACAGTTCATAGACCAGTAAACAACAGTAAATAGACCAGTAAACAACAGTTCATAGACCAGTAAACAACAGTACATAGACCAGTAAACAACAGTTCACAGACCAGTAAACAACAGTACATAGGCAAGTTAACAACAGTACATAGACCAGTAAACAGTACATAGCCCAGTAAACAACAGTTCATAGACCAGTAAACAACAGTACATAGACCAGTAAACAGTTCATACACCAGTAAACAACAGTTCATACACCAGTGAACAACAGCACATAGACCAATTTTTCGTGACATTCGGACCATTTTACCATTTATCGATGTTAATTACTGCAGTAATTAGGTTATTTGAAATACCATTTATAATTCAAAATGAACAGGTAAGTATGTTTAACATGTAAATAATAAGCAAAGGAAATTGAGTAATTCTATTTTGAATATTGACCACGATATTTTAAGCTAGTCTGAATGACCGTGATTTAGTGAAGGAAAAAGACCATTTTTCCTTCTTCACCACAATAGGTATACCTCCTGTTACAGCTACCAAATAGTCTACACAGAATGACAGCTGTGTCACTACCCACAAGATCACACAGTGACAACTTCACTGTGATGTCCAGATGGAGACTGACTGATCAGTTTCACTGTGGTGTATAGACAATGACTGCCTGGTCAGTTTTACTGTGATGTCCAGAAAAGGACTGCCTGGTCAGTTTTACTATGATGTCCAAACAAGGACTACCTGGTCAGTTTTACTGTGATGTTCAGACAATGACTGCCTGGTCAGTTTTACTGTGATGTCCAGACAATGACTGAATGGTCAGTTTTACTGTGATGTCCAGACAAGGACTGCCTGGTCAGTTTTACTGTGATGTCCAGACAATGACAGAATGGTCAGTTTTACAGTGATGTCCAGACAATGACAGAATGGTCAGTTTTACTGTGATGTCCAGACAAGGACTGCCTGGTCAGTTTTACTGTGATGTCCAGACTATGACTGCCTGGTCAGTTTTACTGTGATGTCCAGACAATGACTGCCTGGTCAGTTTTACTGTGATGTCCAGACAAGGACTGCCTGGTCAGTTTTACTGTGATGTCCAAACAAGGACTGCCTGGTCAGTTTTACTGTGGTGTATAGTCAATGACTGCCTGGACAGTTTTACTGTGATGTCCAGACAATGACAGAATGGTCAGTTTTACAGTGATGTCCAGACAAGGACTGCCTGGTCAGTTTTACTGTGATGTCCAGACAATGACTGCCTGGTCAGTTTTACAGTGATGTCCAGACAATGACTGCCTGGTCAGTTTTACTGTGATGTCCAGACAAGGACTGCCTGGTCAGTTTTACTGTGATGTCCAAACAAGGACTGCCTGGTCAGTTTTACTGTGGTGTATAGTCAATGACTGCCTGGACAGTTTTACTGTGATGTCCAGACAATGACAGAATGGTAAGTTTTACTGTGATGTCCAGACAATGACAGAATGGTCAGTTTTACCGTGATGTCCAGACAATGACTGCCTGGTCAGTTTTACTGTGATGTCCGGACAATGACAGAATGGTCAGTTTTACTGTGATGTCCAGACAATGATTGAATGGTCAGTTTTACCGTGATGTCCAGACAATGACTGCCTGGTCAGTTTTCAAGTAATATTCGGATGATGACTGGTTTAGACAGATTTGCTGTGATACAGAGATGATATATGCTAGGTCTGTTGTACTCTGAGGTCCCAGCAATGTTACCCATAATGCATTGTCAGCTTTACGGTATTGAAAAGTTATGGAGAGAAGAAAGAGGAAGGTTGGTGTGGAGACTGATGCCTTCAGATGATTGAGTCCGTGCTGTATACAGCCTACTAACAAGGAGCTCGTGTGTCTTGCACCTGAGCCCAGGCCTATCCTAGTCATCCCTTCATCATTAAATAGACCAGGCCATGTAATGGACAAAATAGAGAAAGGAATGTTCTATTGTAATTGCAAGGATTAAGATGACTTCTGCTGTTGAAACAAATTTGCTGTCACAAATGAGTGTTTTTGTACAAAATAAATCCTCTCCCTTTGCTTACAACTACCACGCAGCAGCAACTTTTTGGTGAGAATGGTGAGAGGGGGGGCTCTTTGGGGAGCTTAATTTGAAGAATTAGCAAGCTTATGTCTTAAAAGTATTTTCTCTTAAATATAGTTTTTGTATGAAATTTGAAATTTCTTTCCTGGTGAACAAACTTCCTTCATTGCTAAAAATGCCCTACTTGGAGTAAAAATCAACAAAAGATGTTGATTTCCACAGCTGTCAAAGATCAGTAATGAAGTTCAAAGAAATTCTCAATATTCTCTGGGTCAGAGGTCAACTTATCTGTAGATCCAAAGTCAATATTGTGTGATATTCATTCATGTTTGCTTAGGTCAGAGGTCAATAACACACCATTGTTAAAAAGGCAATTGGAGGTAAATGATAAGTTCTTGAGGTCGTCAATATGTGAAAGTTTTGAGGTCAATATCAAATTCAATCCTACGTTAACTCAGACTATAACATTGATAATGCTTGATAATGTAATAAATAACATATATAATATAAATATGATAATATAACAAAGTAATATTATCTCAAAGTTATAAAATACTGATATCTTAATTTATAAATACTGATATCTTAATTTATAAACATTGATATCTTAATTTATAAATACTGATATCTTAATTTATAAATACTGATATCTTAATTTATAAATACTGATATCTTAATTTATAAACATTGATATCTTAATTTATAAATACTGATATCTTAATTTATAAACATTGATATCTTAATTTATAAATACTGATATCTTAATTTATAAATACTGATATCTTAATTTATAAATACTGATATCTTAATTTATAAATACTGATATCTTAATTTATAAACATTGATATCTTAATTTATAAATTCTGATATCTTAATTTATAAATTCTGATATCTTACTTTATAAATACTGATATCTTAATTTATAAATACTGATATCTTACTTTATAAATACTGATATCTTAATTTATAAACATTGATATCTTAATTGATAAATACTGATATCTTAATTGATAAATACTGATATCTTAATTTATAAATACTGATATCTTACTTTATAAATACTGATATCTTAATTTATAAACATTGATATCTTAATTTATAAACATTGATATCTTAATTGATAAATACTGATATCTTACTTTATAAATACTGATATCTTACTTTATAAATACTGATATCTTAATTTATAAATACTGATATCTTAATTTATAAATACTGATATCTTAATTGATAAATACTGATATCTTAATTTATAAACATTGATATCTTAATTGATAAATACTGATATCTTACTTTATAAATTCTGATATCTTACTTATCTTACTTTATAAATACTGATATCTTAATTTATAAATACTGATATCTTAATTTATAAATACTGATATCTTAATTGATAAATACTGATATCTTAATTGATAAATACTGATATCTTAATTTATAAACATTGATATCTTAATTGATAAATACTGATATCTTACTTTATAAATACTGATATCTTACTTATCTTACTTTATAAATACTGATATCTTAATTTATAAATACTGATATCTTAATTTATAAACATTGATATCTTAATTTATAAATACTGATATCTTAATTTATAAATACTGATATCTTAATTTATAAATACTGATATCTTAATTTATAAACATTGATATCTTAATTTATAAATACTGATATCTTAATTTATAAATTCTGATATCTTAATTTATATAAATACTGATATCTTAATTTATAAACATTGATATCTTAATTTATAAATACTGATATATGTTTCTATTTGATTTCAGAAGGGAAGTCAGTGTTATTTTAATTACCTGTGAAGAGTTCATTCCTGCTCTGAAGGGTATCTCAGGTTCTTTGTCTGCAATTTAAATACTTTGATCACAAAAATGACAACAAAATTTCAATCCCAAGATTTCAGCGATAAAATGGGGATGGGGGAGGAAATGATTGAACAAAATCTGTTGGCAGAAAAAAATTTCCTGAAGAAAATGCAGATTTTGCAGGGAACAGTAGTATTGACTATTGAATTCAACAAAAAGTTTGTAACTTTGAAATTTTTGGGCAGCATTTATCACTAATTAACTAGACAATGAATATTCACGTTTCTACGTCACTTAATGTGCAACATCAAATATCAGTGCATTATCACTTGCTGGTCTAGTAAAATTAGCACAATGAAAAATTAGAGCATTCACAATGATTATAAAAGAGCACAATGGGTATAGCTAAAACAATACATGTCCCCTACCTGTCCCCACAATACATGTCCCCTACCAGCCCCAGAAAGACATGTCCCCTACCAGCCCCCATAATACATGTTCCCTACCAGCCCCCATAATACATGTCCCCTACCAGCCCCCATAATACATGTCCCCTACCAGCCCCAGAAAGACATGTCCCCTACCAGCCTCCATAATACATGTCCCCTACCTGTCCCCACAATACATGTCCCCTACCAGCCCCAGAAAGACATGTCCCCTACCAGCCCCCATAATACATGTCCCCTACCTGTCCCCACAATACATGTTCCCTACCAGCCCCATAATACATGTCCCCTACCAGCCTCCATAATATATGTCCCTTACCTGTCCCCACAATACATGTCCCCTACCAGCCCCAGAAAGACATGTCCCCTACCAGCCCCCATAATACATGTCCCCTACCAGCCCCCATAATACATGTCCACTACCAGCCCCAGAAAGACATGTCCCCTACCAGCCCCCATAATACATGTCCCCTACCAGCCCCCATAATACATGTCCCTACCAGCCCCCATAATACATGTCCCCTACCAGCCCCCATAATACATGTCCCCTACCAGCCCCCATAATACATGTCCCCTACCAGCCCCAGAAAGACATGTCCCCTACCAGCCCCCATAATACATGTCCACTAGAAGACCCCATAATACATGTCCCCTACCAGCCCCAGAAAGACATGTCCCCTACCAGCCCCCATAATACATGTCCCCTACCAGCCCCAGAAAGACATGTCCCCTACCAGCCCCCATAATACATGTCCCCTACCAGCCCCAGAAAGACATGTCCCCTACCAGCCCCCATAATACATGTCCCCTACCAGCCCCAGAAAGACATGTCCTCTACCAGCCCCCATAATACATGTCCCCTACCAGACACTACAAGCTTATGACATTGTAATGATTTTTAATTTTTCTAGAAGAAGTAGTCATGACATTGACCTTTACTCAACAAGAACGAAACTCCAAATTATCCACGACGATTTGATGCTTTATACGTGTGTGAAGAATAAGGAGATTCCCTGAAGGAATGAAGCTGCTAGAGTGACCACAATCTTTTACGGATGAACAAAGAGGAAAGCTACAGTCCGTCCACTCCACCCTCCCCTCCTGGTTTTACAGGTACGTGGATCAATAATCAAATGCTATCATATTTAGCTCAATACTCTTTACAATGAACAGTGCTGAATTAAGATAATTGCTGAAATATATATGTTACAACATTTTGTTGAACAATGTAAAAAAATTCTTGTACTTACTCAGTAAAGCATTTACATCGGGATAGCTCATGTTCACGTTCTCATTTGGCTGCTGTTGTCCATTAAAGCTTTGACCTTCATACATCTGTAATGAGAAAAACAATTAATGATTACTTCCCTTTAGAGAAAGACTTGGAGTGGGAGGGGGGTATTGTTCTACATGAAATGTATTCCTACCATACAACCCATGACGAACGAAATCAATGTCAATTTAAGATAAAACATGTCTCAAAAATACAAAGTTGAAAAATAGTGAACATATTTCATGATCATATAAAACATTTGTCTCTACACTAAAATTTCCGACGCCCAATTAGCCTAATTCTGAGCATTTTGTCGGTGCTAGATACACAAGTCAATATCTTTTTAAGTTCCTATACCTCCTTAAATATGACTTACTCTATTCTCAAACGAACCACCGGGAGGATTTGTCGACGACCATGTGCCTTCATCAATCTCTGAAATATAAGAAAAACAACAACTTTGAGATTTAATCTCGATGTAACGTAAAATTAATTGAAAGTAAATCCTCTACTTCAGACTCCACTTGAACAATTCTCATTTTTCCTTCGAGTTTTCATAGAAACTAATTAACACCTAAACAACAGGTAAAAACTCGACATGACATGGCACCCAGTATTAACATCAAACAGGGCTCTCACACCCCATTTTGGGACTGGGGCCCGGGGCCCTTAGAATTGGGAAAAATAATGGTGCTTTCCTTAGAATTGGGAGAACTTGGGGTCTAAATTGGGAAAAAAAGATACTATTTTGCATTGGGAATAGGGTCGAATATCGGCCCCAAATCTGGCAGATCAAGAGCCCTGTCAAAGTAAACTGGGAAATCAAAATCTTAAGGTGTTCAAGGACTGTCTATTTTACCAATTCCTAATCAAGAACCTTTATCTGTACAATTCAAACAATTCTTTCTTAACTTAACTGACAAATTGTTAAATGTTTTGGATATAACTTCCAAATTTGATCTAAAAAGCCACTAAATCTGATTACTTAGGGACTCCAGTGATGATTTCCAAAATGGTCAGAAGGCCTTTTTTTACTTCCTTATTTATATTCCATTTTCTTATTGATGAGATGTGATAAATGAGTAACATTCATTTGAAAGGACACACAATCCCAGGGATTATGTTGGTCAAGAGAAGATAAATCTGTTAGTAAAATCAGACAGATTAAACTTTTTGAAACAGGAAATATACTAAATCATTTCAACGACAACAAATCATTTAAATAAATGAGGAATGGAAAATTTGGAATCTCAAAGAGCAGATGGCACCAAAACCCACCACCAAATGGTATTTTCTTTGTTGTACTTAGAAAGTGATTTTCCTACTCAACTCTACATAAATCAGACCAGACAACAAGCCAGTACAAGTCATCAAAACCACAAGGACACAAGTCATGGCATTCATAGCTCCTATAAATGCCACATGGTTTGTTCTATACCCCATTATTGATGTAATGGAACAATAGTAGCGATGTCTTGAGAGACCATCTCAACAATGTTATTCCCAAATCTACAGAAGATAGATGTTGGTAGGTCACTATCTTCGGCGCCATTCCGTAATGTTACTATAAAACTATTGCTGCCAGGCCATTTACTGCCGAGACGTGAAATCGTCACTGCATCTCTCTTTCCCGACGGGCATCGCTACTGACAGCTAATCGAAGACGAAATCATACATCTTGCCGTTAAAGCCCGACGTACCGGTCACCTAGCGCGACGACAGCGCCAAACTCCTCAAGAAACAATCAGCGATAAAAATTGAAAAATTTGCCACACAATGGCGAGGCGTATTGTTGGCGACACTGTTATGAAGCTCTGTGTGTAATTGACCTGAGGGAGAAAGGACTGTTACAGCATTGCTGTAGTTACCCCAGCACCAAAACTCTCATAGGGTCAACTTCAATAAAATCCCCTACGTTAACTACTAAATTGTCTCCCCTGAAACCCTTTTACAAGAGTTACCTCCTCTTAAAAATGCAAAGATTTAGCTTTCTACTCAGAAGGTTAAATATAAGCCTAAGAAACTAAATGGAAATGATATGTAATTTCAGACCAACAGCACAAGCTAACCAGCCTTAGCATGGAGGCCACGGATCAATAGACAGGAGGCTCACTCACAGCTAATGATAGTGCCACGACAATTAGCCAATAATCTTAAACAAATCTCTTGCCTCCTTGGCTGCCATCATAACAGGCTTGTAATGCAAGGGGCCACCATCAGATGTTCAATATCTAATCTTTTCATGTTTCTTGGTGATGGACAGATATGACAGATTGGTGTAGATGTCGTTCTAACATGGCTGCCATGACAGATGATGTCATCCAATGTGTTGACAGTCACGAAGACACACAGGGCCTGTTGACAATCACAAAGACACACAGGGCCTGTTGACAGTCACAAAGACATACAGGGCCTGTTGACAGTCACAAAGACATACAGGGCCTGTTGAGTCACAAAGACATACAGAGCCTGTTGACAGTCACAAAAGACACACAGGACCTGCTGACAGTCACAAAAGACATACAGAGCCTGTTGACAGTCACAAAGACATACAGAGCCTGTTGACAGTCACAAAAGACATACAGGGCCTGTTGACACTAAGGGAAGCAAATTTGAGCCTGAATTCCTTTGTTCATATTTCCTAAGTATGCAAATTAATACAGGAGATGAAATAAAATTATTATCTAACATTACTAGCTAACAAGGCAATGAAAAGTTGACCAGAAAGTCTGTAATTAAATCAAAGCCACAGTGAGCCAGCAGCACTTTGTACATAAATTATATGTGTATCAGAAGAAACAAGACATTGTTGTGTCCTGCCATTGTAGTAATGACAGATAGTGTGTTCCTTCACACCAACCTTTGTCAGGTATTTGTAAGGCATCAACAAGCATGTAAACGGGAGATAATCAGCGGTCTGATTTGATCCTAGATATATTGGTACACAAGACTTCTTATCCTTTGAAGTTTTTTTACAGTACAGTCTACACAATAGCTGTAATACTCGAGTAGCCTTGTTGTTCTCGAGTAGCTTTGTTGTCTTTTCTTTAAAACATCCATTCCTCATCTAACACCACCAGACTGTCAATAAAGCCCAAACTTCAGGAACGGTAATAGAGAGGATGAATAAGTGTTAGGATTATAAGACAAAATCTATACCTATTACATATAGCAGTGAAAAGCTGGGCAATGTCTACATAATACCTGTTATGTATGAAACAGATTTCTGACTAGATTCTGAAGTTTAAATCAACCCCTACAATACCAAATTATGTAATTAGGTTACATTGGTATTCCTTCAAACAATTTTTACGTTATAGATATGTTCATTGGGTGTAGTTAAAATTTCATGGTCCATGTATACATTCTTCAGGAAAACAAAAGTTGAAGAAAGTGACATGACACTCAGCACGATCACATTTACCTTTTCAGGTAAAATTCAAGCATGATTACATTACTAAAATTTTGAACATCTCCACCACAAAATTGTCACAACTCCATTCAGCAAGCGTGACATATCACCATCACTCATTAAGTCAATTTTGTCTTGTCTGATCTCGTTGTACCCAGACATGGTCCACAGCATCACACCACAAAAACAGCCTGCTCACTTACAGACTTAATGAAATTTGAAACCTGACACCTCTGACCTTGTTTGTCTTAAATATGATATCTTATTCATTATCAGTGTCACTCGCCTGATGACCAGCTATTCCCTCGCCTGATGACCAGCTATTCCCTCGTCTGATGACCAGCTATTCCCTCGCCTGATGACCAGCTATTCCCGTCTGATGACCAGCTATTCACTCACATGATAACCAGCTATTCCCTCGTCTGATGACCAACTATTCTCTTGTCTGATGACCAGCTATTCCCTCGTCTGATGGCCAACTATTCCCTCGTCTGATGGCCAACTATTCCCTCGTCTGATGGCCAACTATTCCCTCGTCTGATGGCCAACTATTCCCTCGTCTGATGACCAGTTTTTCCCTCACATGATAACAAGCTTTTCCCTCACTTGATAACAAGCTTTTCCCTCGCCTGATGACCAGCTATGTTTGTTCAGGGAGTATTGACTGATAGTAGATGTTTATTTCCTTACTGAATAGAATGCTGGAGGTCCACACATGATATCAAAGGTAATCTGGGTAAATTGTCTTTTTCAAGAACACAACTAGAACAGCACTGGATGCTCAATGATTTCGGTTTTTGAGAAACACTAACCTGTCCAAAGGTGGTAATGCACCACACATTTCAGATCTATACCGAAGGTTGAAATAGATGATGCATCAACTATTAAACTATGGCACCGTACATTTGGGAAGAAAGTATTATTAAGTGTTAGAGAAAATCTCCGACAAATCCTTTAATAATAAATCTGTAAAATTGTATGTATTCAAGCACAATTAACTATATGACTGTGATTGGTTATAGTTCTACAGATTTGCATGTATTCAACAGTAACATTGCACTTCCCCATAATTGTATTCAGGTTTGGACATTCTTCTGTTAATTTTTTGATAATTGTGATGACTTCACTTGCCCTTTAAAGTGATTGAATTAAATAAATCTGTATCTAACATTTGACGGTTTCATGAGAATTAATGTTCATAACTTGGGCTCTAGTAAAAGATAAAGTTCTGAACCATCATCGGCCAATACACAGGCAGTGTTCACTAAGCTTTTGTTGACTTTGGCATTAGAAAGCCTGAAGACGTGGAACATGATAGAGCCACCTCCTATACACATCAGCTAATCCTAACACACTTCTCACCTCGCTGTATACACCAGGTGAAAAACTGACAGGTAAGCTCGCCAGGTAGATAAGAAATCCGACCTACACTACACACGACATCCGAACTCAGACAGGACGACCTCTGACCCAACACCAGGGAATGGAGTATTTAAATTTCCCTTTTCATTCATAGAGAAGGGGCCCATTAAGGGGGCTCTAGGTATACATCTAAATATAAATGCCTGGATGAACATTCACTCCGCTGTATAACCTTAGAGAACATATTCCAAGATACTAGTAGCGGATTCAGGAAATTTTTTTTTTGCCAGCAGAATTAAACAACATTTTCAGTTCATTGATTAGATAAAACAGCAAAGATCTGTTGATGAAATAATGCATGAACTTGTGAGAACAGATGCAATTCTCACATTCCTTCAACAGTTACATTTATTAGTATACAATAAACTAAAAACACAATATCACCATTTTTAAATATTTCAAAATTTGCATAGATATTTATCAATATTCAAATTTGAAAGGTATACATAAGCAATAACATGGATTGAACTTGAGCAGATTTTCTTCCCAATGTCTCAGTAATTGTCTCTGTATGTACGTCTTTGCCTTTGTTTGCTAATGTGAAATCAAGTCAACAGGCTGTGTCCCTCACCACATTTGACCTTTTTAACTTCCTTACTCA